ATAGTATTATGGTATTTTAAAATTATTGTAGTTATTTTCTGTTTTTATTTTTGTGAAACTTAATATAACCATAATCAAAATACTTAAGTAAATCAGAATCCTTATTCTTAAAACATATAATTTTAACTATTAAAATATAATATATCTACCTCGTTAAATTATATAGTGTTGTGATATTTTAAAATAATTTTAGTTACTTGATAAAAAGATGTTTATTATTAAATTTATGTTTAGTTTTATTTTTAGTATCTCTTAAAATAGTTAGTAAAAAGTGATTGTTTTTGAGAAATTATACTATAGAAGTAAAATAGAATTTATATGTTTACTGTAATTGTAAGATATTATAGTCAAATAAATATACTAAAAAAATAATTTCAATAATACTAATTATAAAAAATTGCAATTAAACATATATCAGTTTATGTTAGTTGATTATTTTATGTAGTCATCTAATAAAATAGATAGATATACAATAATAAATATTTTGAAAATGTATATATAAAGAAAAAAAAAATTTTCTAATAGCAATATTTTTTGTGTGAAATGTTTTTATGAAATCACATTATCTACAGATATTGTTTTTTTTTTATCTAAGAAGATATAGATATAAAGTATTTTATTACTTCAAAGGTATATTTTATGTTATTTTAAAATATATTTAAATTAAATATTACTATTTTGTGAACTTTCTATTTTTTATTAAACCATATTATATATACTAATATTTTCGTTTTTAAATAGTTTTGTAAATTTTATAAATGTTTCCTTTTTATTTTATATTGTTATTTGGAAATTTTTAAAAAGGAAAAAATATTTAATTGTATTTTTAATTCATTAGGGGTATCATAGTAATCAACCAGCGATACAATTAACGTGAGCGCGACACCTAAAAAAGTGATTTCTCAAATAATATTATAGAGATTACTAACTGAGAAACAAATTCACTTTTACAGAAAGCTTCATAATTAATCAGATGGAAACTTTTTTGCTTTTTTTTTTTCTTTTTTTTGTCATTTTTTCGTTTTTGTTAACTTCTATAAAAATAATTAGTAACATATCTCTATAATATTATTTGAGAAGTCATTTTCTTAGGTGTCGCGCTCACGTTAACTCTCACACTGGTTGATTACTATGATACCCCTAATGAATTAAAAATATATTTAAATATTATTATTTTCTTTTCAAAATCTTCCAAATAACAATATAAAATAAAAAGGAAATATTTATAAAATTTACAAAACTATTTAAAACGAAAAATAAGTATATATATAATATGGTTTCATAAAAAAGGAAAGTTTACAAAATAGTAATATTTAACTTAAATATATTTTTAAATAACATAAATTATACTTTCAAGTAATAAAATCCTTTATATCTATATCTTCTTAGATGAAAAAAATATTTGTATATAATGTGTTTTCATTAAAAAAGTTCATACAAATAATCTTGATATTAGAAAAGAAATATTTTTATTTAAAAATCATTTAAACAATAAAATATATATTTTCAAATTAATTATTTTTTGATATATCTATCTATTTTATTAGATTATTACATAAAATAATTAATAACGTAAACTGATATATGTTTAATTGATAAAAAATTATAATTAATATTATTGAAATATTTTTTTAGTATATTTATTTGATTATAATATCTTACAATTACAGCAAAAAATATAAATTATATTTTACTTATATAATATAATTTCTCAAAAAAATCACATTTTTACTGCATATTTTAATAGATGTTAAAACCAAAACTAAATATAAATTTAATAATAAACATCTTTTGATCAAATAACTACAATTCTTTTAATATATCATAACACTATAATTTAACAAGGTAGATATATTATAATTAATAGTTAAAATTATCTGTTTTCTTAATAACTCTTTTGATGTTTAAATTTCTGTTTTAATGTTTGTGGAATTTAATATAACCATAATCTAATACTTAAAGCAAATCAGAATTCCTTATTTTTAAAATTATTTAAAAGAAA